CAGATTGCATGTGAGTGAGAATCAGGTGATTAATGATTAACAATGTAAGTGGTGCGTTATTTTTGCAGGCCACTGTAGTTTCTAAAACCTTAATCTTGAAAAGAATTCGAATTTTTCTCCTATAGAAATTAAACTATTGGCGCATGACGCCAATTTGCATATTAGGAATGATGTCAATTTATATAGTATGGTGATTTCCATATTAGAAATAATACCAATTTAAGTATGCGATTTCCATATTTAACACCTTCAATGAATGCTAAACCACAAAAAAAATAGAAATTGCCACGTTTAAATCAAAAATTTCTAATAGTTTTAATTGTTACAAATTTAGACGATTCAATAAATTCACGTTTTGATAGCTAATAAATTGAAATTTGAATTGTTTATTAAATAAATAGAAAATTCTTTATATATGTGAGTTTAAAATTGGCAAGTAAGACGAAAAGAAAGTTTTAATTTACAGAGAAGCACATATTGTATTCATTAAAGTAATAAGCTGGGACATTATTTTTGAAAATCCTTTTTACCCGAAAATATTTGATTGTTGACGCAAGCTGGTTTAAATGAAGAACTTTATCACTCTTAACCCGTGTACAAGAACACAGTTTTGAATACATTGCAGAGCATCATAGGATTAGGGAAAACGATATAAAATCGGCGCTTGAATCCATTCAATATCTTTGTTGTTTTCAAAAACTAAATAACGTTATATATTCAACACTTGATACAAAAATCATCTTTTTAAAAATGCAATCATCAAATCAGAAAAATCTTGATATCAATACAATTCTTTCTATAATCCCTTATCCACCGAAAGTTACCCCTCAGGATCTAATCATGAATGCAGGTGCAAGACTTGAAAAAAGTGGAGAAATATCCAGAATTCCTAATGCATTTATCGCATTTCGCATGGATGTCTGTCGCGAACTTCGTGTTATTAGCGATTGCAGGATGAATCAACCTCAACTTTCTTTAATGTGCAAGGCTTCATGGGACAATCAACCGGAATATGTCCGTAATGCATATCAACATATTGCAGCATCTGCAGGAATACTTTACAAAAGAATGATTCAGAAACGCATTCAGCAAGGACAAAATGATAAAAAAGTGACATTATATGAGCAGACACCATTTTTAGATGACGAAATGAAAGAAAGGCTTGATTCCAAAGATCAATTTGAAAATCTTTCTTTTGTAAATATGACCTCTTCCGAAATGCTCGCGCGGAATACTTCGAGATTGACATCAAATACAGCATCTGGTCATGTTCTTCCTAATCGGATCCATCAAAATGAAAATCCAAATTCGACTATTGAAGAATCATCAAATTTAGCGAACTTTGGACAACCTGAAATTAATTCGAATATAACTCTTCCCGTTGATTTACGAGAATCATGTTTAGAAGGAAGCCAATCTTCATATTGTGATTCTTCTTCCGGCGAAATTAATTTTGTTTCGATGAATTCGGAAAATGTAATGAAGTCGACGAGTTTTAAATCTTTCGATAACGGAAACTATGAATTTCATTTTGATAACCCTTTTTTTTCAACTTCTAATAATTTGACTGAACCGCACCAACCGGATCAACGAGAACATCATCTAATTAACGTTTTTGCTATGAACAATGATGTCATTGAAAATTCACACGTACACGATAAATGTGATGCAGAAAACCAGATTACCGAATTGTACTCAAAAGTTAAATTTTTAGAACAAAAACTTGATAGTTTAATGAATTTTTTAAACGAAAAAGGAATTAAGATGAACGAATGAGATTTGGAAAAAACTTTATAAGGAAATTTATAAATAAGCCTATGTTCTAAAGAAATAAGTGTATTATCGATTTAGTTAAATCAGTAAAATTCATGTCTCAATTTTGTTCACTTTTTTTATTCTTTAAAGTTTTTTATCTCAGCTCATATATTATTGATGTATAAAATCGAAATTGTCGATTAAGAAAGATTAAAAATTTTCATAATAAAAATGTATTTTTAATTGTTTAACTTAATCTATTATCTATAATAGTATGGTTGTGCCGACACCCTTCACAAATTGATTAGACATACAGTGGCTCATGGAAGAAATGGAACACGGGAAAAAAATTGGCGAGATACGAATATCTCGCCATTGAAGAAT